CTGTTCTATGATTCTATGATTCTATGATTAGCCTACTGTCCGCAGGCCACACCCTTCCCAAATACACATCCAGTCTGCTGGCCACCCCTGTGCATCTCTACGTATCTTCCAGCTGTCTACCCAGTCCTTGTCAGACACGCATCGGCATTGTGGAACTGCTCTTGAACAGAACATTTCACCCTGCTGGGTATGAAATCTGCTTCTTTGCATTGCTTGCCATCAGTCCTGGCATTTGGATGTCCATTTCTCCACTCTTCAGTGATCGTCTCCAGATGGGGCACCACCGAGCTAATTCGTCAGCCACACAGCCAACTAATAAGTCATGTCTGATCATACTTGCAAGGGCATGTGGAAGGAGAGCGTCTGCTCCTCTGGGGTACCCGGTGAAAGGAGCCATAAACAAGAACAAAACCAAATCTGACCAACACATGACAGGGAAAATCAGGATGAGAACAAATCTGGTCAGTCGCACTAATTGTTATAGATGGGAATGTTCACTTTACCGGTCAGAAGGTTAAGGAAAAGGAGGGATACAAACACAGAGAGCCGTGAAACCTGAGCATTTAATGTTAACAAACACAACAACCAGAAATAAAGCTGGTCAGTCACTGCAAGTGACAAGCAGGCAAACTGGGACTTTGCAATTGATAGGGATGCAAACCCAAGGGTCCAGTCCAATGGGACTCGGTGACATTCTCTCCTTATTCACAGGTTGCTTAGCAGTCATTAAGTGGTTTTAGAGGTATCAGGAATTTACTCAAGCAACAAAGAGTAATTCTGAACACGGGATGGGATTTTTCTCTCAGTCTTCTACAATTTCATAATGGTAAAGCTTTAGAAGAAATCAAGCCATCATCTTTGGTTTTACAAGGCAGTAACATAAAAAGAAGGGGAAGGAGCATAAGCAATCCATTCCTCACTCGCAAGGCTGAGTCCTTGTCCTTCTCAGACTAGGACTTTGCATCTAAAAGCCAATTAAGAACAAATCCCATTTTCTCACCACTTGAAACAACATTTTTTCAAGAACAACAACTGGCTACTCAGAAATGCTCTAAGTCAGGCCACAGGTAACAGGTGTTCCACACTGTAAAAGGGCACCTGAGACTCTTCCGTTAGGATGGGAAAGCAAGAAGGAGGCTTAAAGAAACTTCTTTTATGCAGTTCACTGATAAACAGCATAAACTGCTTCCTTCCGTAAAGGATACTTCCTTCCTGCTTTTCTTGGAAGAAAACCTCACGACATTCTTTCTTTCCTAAGCAAAAAACAGAACTTCTCCATGTTACAGCAGTTCATATGCTCCTGAAACAGGGTTTGAAATTCAAGAACGGCAACTGAACTCGATCTCAAGTCCTTGGACTTGTGGCATTTGGGTATGACTCATCCACCATGTCTCCAGAAAAGCTGCCTACAGAATCTCTTTGATCAAGGTGGACGCCTACGGGGCTGCGGTGTTCCCACAGCGAAGGACAGCAGATGACCACATGAGCACTTCTGTGTCAGATTCTCCACATTCTACCCTCAGGAGAAATTCAATTCAGCAGCAAAGATAAAAGAGGTTGCTTGAGGTTTGGGAGTTTTGCATCTTTTTTTTAAGGCTCATAAAAAACTCGGCGTTTTTCATAAGCAGGCAGAGATAATCTGGAGGACAGGGCACAGGCCTGACTTCTGGAACCTCCAGTGAGACAGACGACAGGGACAGGAGCATTTATTGCAGGAGCTCTTCAGCACTGAACAAAGGCCTTTAACACTAACAAATTTCAAAACTCTGACATTTTAATAACAAATAAGTAGCTTTGCCACTGTTTTGAAGTATCATGAAATATTATTTCATGACCACAGTTAATACTTCAATTTACAGAAGTCAGAATATAAGTCAAACACACAGACTAAAAATAATGCGCATCAACCCTGAATTGTAAAATGTTAAGTATTCACATATACCTATCCTAACAATTAGGTTATCCTAACAAGAAATAGTTTGGCATCACCTCCTACTGGATTTTGAAGGAAAATATTACATGATACTAGTGTTACCAGACTCCTTGACTCACATCCAGGTACTTGAAATCATCCACCTCTCACACTTCCTCCGATGCAATTTTTTTGCCAGGAGTCCAAGAACAAAGTCACCATTAGTGGCAACAGCAGCGTTACAAACTGCTTAAACAAAACGCATCTGATCGCTACCGTTGTGCAAACTTGCTCCAAGTTTACTACAGCTTGTGTTCTGTCTATGAGAATGCACCCACTGTTGGTGGAGCAGCACCAGCAATGTTACATCAACAGCTGTAAACTGCAGAAACATTTCCTAGTGGAGCCATTGCAACATTCGTCCCACGTAACAGCAGTACTACTCTTAACAAAAGATATACTATTTTTCTCTGTGGCAGAACTTTTATTTGGAGGGAAATTATAACTTTTGCATTTACATGGCACAAATTATATACAGTACACTTTCCATGATGAGAATTATGATGCTGTTCACAGAAAGGTATCAAATTTGAGATAAATAATGCATAAGCTAAAATATACAAACCAGGGGTGGAGGTGAAACTATTGGCCATTTTTATTATCTATAGAAGAATTTTAAGGAATAACGTTAATTTAATGTTCAAAAATTTTTAACAAACTTCTAGTAAAGTTAATTGAAATATTTATAATACTATTCAGTTGTTACACAGTATTTCCAATATACAATCAAGAAGATGCACAGAACACGACACTTAATATGAAAAAAAAAAACTATTGAACCCACAACTCAAAGGTTCCACTGCCTTTTGGATGCTGCACTACCATATTTATATAAACATTTACAACACTTCAGTAAACACAAAGGTTCTAAATGTAGTGCAGCATTATGGGGGGCCACTTTCAGCTCTTAACATAAATGTTAAATGCCCACATACTGTGCTGTTTATCCTAAGCTGATGGTTTAAGCTGTAGCCCATAATTCCTACGGGAAGTAGCAGACACACTTTTCTCCACCTTCAAAAGATGACCATCCCTTTGACTACACGCTCTATATTCTGAGACCTAAACTGTCCTTGGCTTCACTGTCATTTTGGCCTTTGGCCTCAGTGCTTCTGAGAACTATCCCTTATATAATTTTTTAATGGCCTGTTAAGTAGTCCTGCGTAGAATCCGAAGCGAAAGAATCTGCATCTTCATTATCAGAATCATCACTACTGTCATCAGCTGCTGGCTCTCCTGTCAGAGCTATCCGGGCATAATCGTCAGTGTCTATGGACTTGCAGAAGTGAATGGCGTACTTCAGTTTTTCCTCCAGTACTTGCTTACAGGAGTATCTGGGCAGCTTCAGGAGAAAGAAACAAGTGTACGACTCGGGAAGGAAGTGGTCTGGAGGATTGTATTTATCCAATACCTGTTGAAGACAAAAAGAGTAAGATTTTTAATTCGCTGTCCAAGCTAAAAATAAATATAAAAATAATACTTGAGAAATGTTTTTAACAGCATGTTAGATCTTTGATTCTAAAGTTGAAGTTTCTTAAGAAAGCACCAAATCAATTTGCCCTGCACTAAGTAAATAAAAAAACCAGACATATATGAGCTTCTTCAACTATGAAGATATGGTTGGGAACAACCTAAAAAAGATATTACTTCAGCAAATACCAAAATACGATTCGAAGACTGTGATTTTGAGTTTAACCGAAATGAATAACTGAGCTCCAACAAAATGCTAAACAATTGCCAGCAAAACCAGCTGATGACCGACAGTGGAAAACCATCAAAATCCAGAGAGGCGAATGGCTAGGAAATGAAACCAATATCCACTCGCCCAAGTCAAGAGAGAAAAATATTTATATACATTATGGAACCCTGCTGCACTTCAAACTTACAATGTAATGTTGCATAAACGGTTCAAGGGCCTCTTGCTATGTCATGTTACTACCTCTCCACTATATAAAACCCTATACACCTTACCTGAATAACAAAGTCCCTCCCTCTAAAGTCCGCAATAGTCCTGGGCAGCCTTGTTCTGCCCCACACAAAACGCAGGAAGAGAGACCGCTCTGTGTTGGAGAAGGACTCCATCACTTCCCAGAACCACTGTATCAAGGAAGCAGTTGGCTCAATGCCTTTGTAAGTGGCCACAGATTTCAGAAGGTGAAGCGGAATATCCGGGCTTCCACATACCTGGAAAATGAAATGGAGTGATAAGCTACAGAAGTCTCCCTCTGTTAGTTTAAAATATTTAATCAGCTTCTACACTGACAGAATGAACACTTAAATATTTGTTAGGTGCTGTACATAGTCTCCTATTACAATAATACTAAATATACGTCTTCCCATCAGGGACAATAATGAATCTTCTTCCATATTCCTGAATCACATAAAGAATTAAATATTTTACTTGAGATTAATATCTCCAATTCACCTCCTACATCCCTGGTTTGTGGGGATTTCTTGTTTTGTGGGGATTTCTTGTTTTGTTTGTTTATTCCAGAAAGAATTCTTTACTTCTTTGCTCAGGTAGGTCAAAATCATAGAATTGTTTAGGTTGGAAAATACCTTTAAGATCATCAAGTCCAACCCTTAACCTAGCAATGCCAGGTCCAGCACTAAACCATGTCCCTAAGCACCTCATCTACACGTCTTTTAAATCTCTCCAGGGATGGTGATTCCACCACCTCCCTGGGCAGCCTGTTTGAGTGCCTGACAACCCTTGCAGTGAAAATTTTTTTCCTACTACCTCATCTAAACTTCCCCTGTTGCAACTCAAGCCCATTTCCTCATGTTCTATTGCTTGTTACTTGGGAAAAGAGACCAACCCCCATCTCACTTGCAACCTCCTTTCAGGTAGTCGTAGAGAGTGACATGGTGTTAATAATAACCTAATTAACATCGAGAGGGCAATTAAGCATTTCCTAGTCTTTCCTTGGCCAAAATGTTTGCAAACACAGAGCAGTGACTGTAAACAGTATTTAATGTGAGGTTTGGATTAGCAAGATGCAAGTGAAGAATCTCACTCGAGGTTAGTCTGACAGGTAGCAAAGAAGAAACTGATACCATAGTTTCCAGTTCGTATCCTGTAAAGAGTGAAAGTAGAGGAACTGGAACAACACGGGCCATCCCCTCACGAACTGCTGCAACTTGTTCGTCAAATTCATGAAGCCTGTGGAGACACATTTTCAGAGTTTCAAGGTTTCTTTGAATGCCGTTTTTAGCAATTATTCTTAGCAATTACTATAATTACAAAGGAAAATTTAACCGTTCTCAACTCTCCAGCTATGTGCCAAGAAACAATAAACATCTATCACACAAGACACTTAAACAGCTTCTACATCTATTCATATTGCACAGCAAGCTCAGAAAGGAGAGCTATCTCCCAATGTTTCGGATATCTTATTTCTAGTATTATGCATGTGATGTGACTGGCAAGAACAAACCAAAACCTGATTTGGAAACAACATGCTACTGGGAAAAGAACGGCTGTGCTTTGAAACTCTGCCCTCAAACATTCCCAAATGCTAGACAGACATTATCATAAAAAAAAATGGGTCTGAACTAAAACACAATGTCTGAGGGGACAGGAGTTGTTGTATTTGATGTCTGAGGGGACAGGAGTTGTTGTATTTTAAGACAGACACAGCTAAGTCTAACGTTTTGCTGCTTCTGCTGCCACCCAAGATTTGTGTCCTGAGTTTTTCTTCCTGTCAAACCATTTCTGAGATGTTTTACAGAGCTCTTGAGAGCAGAGATTCGCATCATTGACAAGTCTTGCCCTCAGGCTTGTCATCGTGAAAACAAACAAAGTCATCAGGAAAAACTTGGTCTTTAGCATCCACTTTTTCACAGAGATTCTATTCAGGTGATAGTTTTTCTCTCATGGGCCTCACATACAATTAATAAACTTGATAATACTTAATCTCAACATTTAGATGTTTCTCTCAAAGGCCTTTTAATTGTGAAATACTTTAGAATTGCTTGTGTCCTTTGTGGATAGACAGATTTGTCAAGAGATCAAAACTAATTCTTCAAAGGAATATACCATTTTATATAGACATACGGTTTACCAATTCCTCATGCAATTTCTACTTTCAAAAATAGGTTTAAGCATTAAGGGGAAAAAAATCCCAGAAACAAAGAACCCAAAGACTGTAATTCAGTAGTTGTTGGCAGATGCCATAATTACAGACTAATAAGCAATTATATAGTGATTGTACAGTCTTGCTCAAGCACTCTCTAAAACAGTTACCTATAGCAGAGAGAGCAGAACAACTATGAATCAGTTTCTCACCAAATTATCTAAATTTCTGTATTTCAGTAGGTGCTCAGCCCCCTTCTTCATATAATAAGATTCCCGTGGTTGCTCCTGAGATGTACTTGTCTAGATTAGCTGTCTAGGCACTTAAGTAACCAAAAGGCCTGTCCTCTCAAATACTGAAAAATTATTGCCCGCCGATTTCAGGCCAATGTTCAGCTTTTGACACTTGTGGGTGAATTTATTTGTCTGCACATAGGTGTCAGACTTATTTTATGGTGTCCAAGCAACAAACATCTTGTTTTGTGTATGACAACTTGGAGAAGAATAGAGTAGGAAATCAGCTGGGTCCGCTCTTGACTACAAGTGATGGTATGAAAAACTGTGAGAGCAGTAATACTAAATCAAAGATCTCTTCTTAAATAACTTAATGATTGAGCCTATTACTTTATTGCACAGGAAGAACTACATGGATAAGGCATTTCTCCACCTATAAAACCAGCTGCCAAAACTGCTGTGTCAGGACAGCTATTCAAGTCTACCTGCTAGTTCATTTTGCTTCCTAAAAATTCAGTTTAACATTTTCTGCCTGGATAGGTTAAAAGAAATCAGAAAATCAACACTGTAATCACATTAAAATATTAAAATACTTGTATATTTGAGGTTAAATTAGTATACAGTTTAAAAATTTTTATGTATTTTTTAAAAGAAAATGTTTCCTCATGTCAATAATCTGAATAAGTTATTCAACAAACCTGTAGTTTATTGCCAGCCTCACATATTCAGCTCTGTTATCCAGTGTAATATGGGTGTACTTGGAACTCAGCTGAATATCCTGCCCACTTGCATTAGGCACAGTGAATGGGAGGCTCATAGCTTCAAATTCTTCTGAAGTAGCTTCATTATCTCGAATGTACATAAGCCCAGGAATAAAATCTTTATCAACCTTTTGAAAATAAAAAGTCCCAGTTAAAGTCAGTTTACTAGCACCATACAACAGTGTTTCTTGCATACCAAAATCACATGTCATCTACCAAAAAGCATTGTGAAATGTCTAACAACAACCCATCTAACTTAACTGCAAAGCCAAAAACTGGTTTAGTATTTTAAATAAAATGTCATTATGCTAGGATGTGGGAGGATGCATGTGTTTTAGGTTTCAGTCCTTCTGGTGAGCATTTGCCAAGAAACTCTACTATACAAGAAAATGGTATTAAAACTTAAAAACATCACCACCTCCACAAAGTCCAGTTCTGGTTTTGGTACAAAAGGAATTGTCTTACTGACAAGTAAATGACTTGCTGCTTTTACAGCAAGTATATTTCTACTTGACAGTAACTGAGGAGGAACTCTTCTTCGTAAGGAAGACCTTACTCTTACTCCATATTTACTGAGCTCCGTAAACGGAAATGGAAGGTTTGCGATGTTCAGTATGGGGGCACAAACTATTTTTAGTAGTAGTTTGAACTTGTTTTCTTTTACTTCAAAACAATGTGGGCACGTGCAGTCAATCAGTTACTGCATCTTGGCGCAAGAGAGAGTAGCAGCTACAGAAAGGTCTACCAGAAGTTAGGAGTTCGACCACAAACATTTGTCTCATCAAACCCTTGAGAAGATTTGAAAATGCTCTATAATTCAGCCAGCTTTTTTAACCACTTTTGAACAACTCAAATTTACAGTTTTAACAGTGAGTACAAGATATCCTTACATACTGGCTCAAAATGTAAAATCCCAGTCAAAATACAAGTATGTAGAAACCAAGGAAGCCAATCACTAGAGAAGAATTTATGTTAGAGTCTGTTTGTCTTCTGCAAGATCTATCCTATTCAGGAACTTCATATTCACCTCACTGAGATCAGCAATTGTTAGGTTCATTCCTGCAAGCTGTTTCCACACTGGCTCAGCCAGGTTGAGGCTCAGAGGGCTGCCAGTCCGGATAGCAATGCCCAGAAGTACACCTGTAAGTTTAAACACCATATTTTTAGTTTTGTGGAGTTAGATTTGCAATATTCTGATCACGCAGTGCCAAAAGAATGTTGGAACGTTGCTAAGAGATTACCAAGAAAACGGAACATGTTCATGTGCAAGAGTGACTTGGCAGCAGGATTTAACAGGAAACAATCCCTGTTTGCTCCAGATTCATCTCTTCCATTTGGTGTCACAATTAACAGAGGGGTCAGCCCATTCTGAAGCTCCTCGCACATTTCCGCTATCGATTCACTGTAACCTCCACCGCAATCATCCACAGATTCACCTTGGAGAAGAGAAAAGGCTCAAAATGAAATGCTCTCTCAAACATAAATGAAGTACTGAAATAAATTGTATTTCCTTCCGTGGCGATGACTGAGTAAACAAAAGTTTACTGTTCTTATGAAAGCCCTTTATGTCTTGCTTCATATTTGGATATTTCCACTTCATTGTAAGTGATATTATTTAGAAGATGTCAAAACCGCTGTTTTGCCAGAGTGCAACTAACATTTTTGTGTTATACACTACTCAAAATAGAATAGAGGTAGAAAAACAAAGTCAAAGCAATGCAATTTCTATGTGACATTTTAAAGTAGATTTTTTTCATATCCTATACATAGTAGATAGAATTGTTCTTCAATTTAAAATGTTTTTCATCAAAAAGCTCAAAGTGATATGTGAATTGTAAAAATCCCCCCTACCAGTAAAACCAGATAGCTAGGATTACTTACCAATTCAGACAGCTGAAAAACAGTTTTAGGGTTTTCAGAGTGTTTGTTGTAAGCAGAAGAGTTACCCCGGGAATTTAAGGAGAATTGTGACACATTTCCACTAATATTGAGGGTTTTAATGGAATAATTTTAAAAGGCTTTTTTACTTCCTAACATTTTAAGCACCTTCCTCTGCTTACACACATACACCGTTCTCCTATATCCCTTTCTTCGGGTCCTCCAAAAAAGTAAATCTGAGGAAAACTCTAAAGTGCAAAATAGGTGGGGGGGTGAAGAGTCTTCTTACCAACAAACTTGACTTTCCAAACACGATGAGGAAGCAGAAGGCTATCAGGGCTAAAGGAACTCATTTTAGCACACATCTGTCCAAACACTGACTTTGTACCATCAGGCCCAGCCAGTCCTCCTTTACTCCTAGAACGTTTTACCTATTGAGTAAGCACAAGATAAAAGTCACTGTGAGAAAACATTTCTGCTGGAATCACTGTAAGATTAGTGTTTATAAAATACCAATGTGTTCAGTGAAGCATCGGGAGAGGTCCACAGCGTATCTTGTATATATGTGACATAAACAGAAGAATGGCATCCTGGCTTGTATCAGGAATAGTGCTGTCAGCAGGAGCAGGGAGGTGATCATGCCCCTGTACTCAGCTTTGGTGAGGCCACACCTCTAGTTTGTCCAGTTTTGGGCCCCTCACTACAAGAGGGACACTGAGGTGCTGGAGAAGGTACAGAGGCAGGCTATCGAGCTGGTAAAGGATTTGGAGCATGTGTTGTATGAGAAACAGCTGAGGGATCTGGGGCTGTTTAGCCTGGAGGAGACTGAGGGGAGACCTCATCACTCTCTAACAACTACCTGAAGGGAGGCTGAACAGAGGCAGGGGTTGGTCTGTTCTCCCTAGTGCGAGTGATAGGACAAGGGGAAATGGCCTTAAGTGGCACCAGGGGAGGTTCAGGTTGGATATTAGGAAGAATTTCTTTGCTGAAAGAGTTGTCAGCCATTGGAACAGGCTGTCCAGGGAGGTGGTTGAGTCGCCATCCCTGGAGGTGTTTAAGAGACAGGTAGACGTGCTGAGGGACATGGTTTAGAGGTGTTGATAGGGCTGGGACAAAGGTTGGACTTGATGATCTTGAAGGCCTCTTCCAATTAACACTGTTCTATGATTCTATTTATTTCAGGTTTTCATGAAAGGTTGACACACTCAAGTCCTCCTCATGTATAAAATGTTATGTATTAACACAAGCTGGTTTTAATTCAATGATTTCTAAGAAATCTGGACGCCCAATAAGAGGGAAGTATTCAAAAGAGTAGAAAGTCTTCAAAAGCAGTAGTTAGTTCACTGCTTTTTTCAAACCTCACATCTAAAACACAAATTAATCAACTGACAAGAAAAGGCAAGCAATCCTGCCTGCACTGAACAGTATGGCATACATATTTGCTATTACACAATTAATTTAGTATTTAATTACCAGCAAGCCAAAATTTCTATTTAATCTGGCAATTTAGATGCAGGAATGGTTACAATTTTACTTTTAACAAAGGAATGCAAGAACGCCATGAAGGATTATTAGCATTTCTGCCAGCAGCTTAATATATTGCTTGCTGACAACGACAAATGCCCATATTAAAATGTATTAGATTACTAGCAAAGTCTTGAAGAATCACAGTATAACACTTCAATGTAAATTGGTAAAAATTCATACAAATATGTTTAGGCCACAATCTAGCACAAGTATTTCAGCTTTTTATTGTAGAGGTGTGGCACATAGCATCTTGGTCATGTTTCTAAATCATTGCCTTTAGAGATCAATCTCCAGAAGAGGCAGAGATGTATCAGTGTGTTAATTACAAGAGCACAGACACGGTATCACCTTTACCTCGAGCTTTCAGTTACCTCTGTTCAAACTGAAATGCTACAGTAAAAATACAGTATAAAAAGATAAGAAGTAGACAAAAACTATTCTGCAGAAGCTGACAAAAAATGCTTAGTCTGATCAGTGTAAGAAAATGAAGGCTTTCATAAAATGAGTGTTCTTTATAAGCACATTGGATATGGGAGAAGACAATAACCTGGAAGTAGGACTGTTATTTAAACTGAAACGTAACACTCACAAAAGAACTAATAATTCATTCACTGATACGCTGTGCCTACTTTAAAATCACATCATTTTTAATCATCATGCTAGTGAGATTTCTGTATCTCACATTTAATAAGAAGCCGTAGTGAAGAGGAAGAAACTATTCTTAAAGTGAGATTTCACGTATTTATACATGTGACACTCCTCCCATGGCAGCAGAGAACATTGAACCAGGAGATCCTTTAAAATATTACATTCCTGAAAGCGGACATTCTCCTTAATAACTGAAATTTGTTCCCTTTCAAAAGGAGGAAATTCCTTTGAACTGCTGTGGCAATCTCTTTTGTCTAAAGGCAAAGATACGATTTAACGTCATTATAAATGTGTCTGTTCATTTGACACCAAATGAGCTACACAATTCGATCTGTTAGCAAGAGGGTCAGTAAGTAAATCTGAGTACTGGACCCCTGTCTAGACACGTAACTGCTTGTTCACTTATGGCTCAGTCTTTGACTATTTCTACTAGACTTTTCCCGAAAAAGGACCAAGTGCTGTTTTGGAACATTTCACTTAATAACCATTCCCCAAAAGTAATATGGATAACCTGTGTCAAGTTTGGCTTCTTCTGCCCTACAGAGTCCTCCAGCCATATCCCAAACTGTCTCTATGCATTCAAATCTTGCCTTCATGCTGCACCTCCAAGTATAAAACATCTTACCCACAACTTTATGCTACAGAAACACCAGGCTGGCACCTGGGAGAGTTAGAGCAGTACAATTACACGATATTTCACAAACCTTGAGCAGGAAAACTACATAAAACTACTGTGTGTTCTTATCACAAGGTTCCCAACAGAAAAAATTGAGGGCCAAGTAGTATGTATGTAAGGTGAATGTGATCTATTCGAAATGAATACAGTCCATGTAAAATTTGACCTCAGGACAACGGAGTGGTCTTTGGTTTGCTTTTATGCCATAAGTTAGGCAGCTGTTATGTCCAGTTCTGTACTTCCAAAGGAACCACTGAACAACAAGGTAAACTGAGGGAATTTTTTAAAATAACAGGTCAGGATTTAGAAAACCACTTCAAATTAAAACTTCATAGTTTATTTTATACAGATACGATGATGAAGTGAATTGTCTTTGCCATGTATACAAACTGTTAACAAGAGTCTTCTGAAAGCAAATGGATCTTAAAATCTAGCTGCAGTTAAACTCACAACTGCAATTAAGATGAGAACTCTTAACATTGACAATTAGCTGTTTGACACTGTGTAAAGCAGCTTGGAATCTTCAATTAAGTATCAAACAGTCAAACAGTTTAAGAACCCACATCTTCATTCTCTGCAAAAGCTAACTCATGAAATTGTGACCCAAACTTGATGCTGTGTAATCAGGCTAAAAGGTCTTTTTTAGCCTTCGCTCAGCTAAACCTGGGACTGACTTGTGTTACAACAATGTTTCATTTTCCCCTGATGCTAGGAAGAAGGGAAGCCCTTCAGCCACCAGTTCTTTTCTAGAGTTCAAGACAGATTCAGGTAACAAACTGGAATATAAGAGAAAGCTCATCTTGATTAATTAACTCATCAGTAGAGGAAGGACATTAGGAAATGAGCCAAAAAACCTAGCCACTCGTTTCCTGCTTAGGCACTTACATTGCTTTATTGGACTTTCTGATTTCACACACACACAAAAAAAAAGTAACAAGTAAACCTGTGGCACTCTCTTCGTCTTCTACTTCCCAAATAACAAGCTAAACCAACACATTTTAATCATATAGCATTACCACCAAAAATTCTAAGTGCCCATAGAAAATGGCAAAGAAGGAGAAACAGCATCCAGTCATAACAGGACATACTTCTGTTTACTAAGACAAGACTAATTAGTCAAAATTTTCAAAATTTTTCCATTTTGACCTTACGAAGAGTAGGTTTTCTTACTTTTTACAATATACCAAAAAAACGCAACCCTACCACTGAAGAAAAGAAATGCATGAGGACTCTGTAAGACCAGGCTTCAGTCCATTTAAACAAAAACAATGTTTTACTATTCTACGTTACAGAAATATCTATGGAGAAAAGACATATCTGGCCTCAGGCACAACATTACATTTTCTAACGTCAATGATAAGGAAAAAAGCCCTTTTGTATCAAAGAGTTCTGCAATCAATATGACCACATGTGACAATCAGCAAAGGACAAGAGTTTATCAGCCTGATTTTTAATTATATTCAAGGGCTTCTTTTTTCTTGCTCTTTTTTTCCCCCTTCATGTTCACTGTTCTGAAAGCAATAGTCAAATTATTCATTCGACTGTTCATTCAATCACAGAATCATTCAGGCTGGAAAACACCCTTAGGATCATCGAGTCCACCTATTAACCCTGCTCTACAAAGCTAACCCCTAAACCATGTCCCCCAACACCACGTCTAAATGACCTTCAGACATATTCAGAGATGGTGACTCAACCACCTCCCTGGGCAGCCTATTCCAATGTCTGACTACTCTTTCTGTGAAAAAATTTTTCCTAATGTCCAGTCTAAATCTGCCCTGTTGCAGTTTGAAGCCATTCCCTCTTGTTCTGTCCCTAATTACCTGTGAGAAGAGACCAGCATCAACCCCTCTACAATGTCCTTGCAGAGAGTGATGAGGTCTCCCCTCAGCCTCCTTCTCTTCAAACTAAACAGGGCCAGCTCCTTCAATCACTCTTCATAAGATTTATTCTCCAGGCCCTTCACCAGCTTTGTTGCCCTTCTCTGTACTCGCTTCAGCACCTCAACATCCCTCTTGTACTGAGGTGCCCAAAACTGGACACAACACTCAAGGTGGGCCTCACTAGTGTCGAGTACAGGGGGCAATCATCTCCCTGCTCCTGCTGGTCACACCATTTCTAATAGAAGCCAGGATGCCGTTGGCCTTCTTGGCCACCTGGGCACACTGCTGGCTCATACTCAGCTGCTTGTCAGTTAGACCCCCCAGGTCCCCTTCTGGCAGACAGCTCTTCAGCCACGCTTCCCCAAGGCTGTAGCATTGCATGGAGTTATAATGGCCCAAGTGCAGGCCTGGCCCTTGGCCTTGTTGAAGCTCATCCCATTAACCTTGGCTCACTGATCCGATCTATCCAAGTCTCTCTGTAGAGTCTCCCTATCCTCGTTCAAATCAACACTTCCACCTAACTTTGTGTTATCTGCAAACTTACGATAC